TGTAAGTCCTGAGAACGTCCCACGATCCTCCTTGTTTCGGTTCTGTATATCCTGACATGTTGTTCTGCTCCACAGACGAGGTGGTCATGTCCAGATCCAGCATATTCTTCTTGATCTCCAATGAGGGGAACCAGAACCTCCAGGTGAGCCAGGCCACTCTCTGGCTGTACTTCAGGCTGCTGCCGGCCGAGGAGGTGCGCGGGAGGCGGAGGCTGACGGTCAAGGTGTACTACCAGGAGCCAGGCCTCGGCAGCAGGTGGGACCTGGTGGAGAAGCGGGTGGAGCTGAGGCGCAGCGGCTGGCACACCTTTCTGCTCACCAACGCCGTCCGCTTGGTGTTTGAGAAAGGAGCCGACCGGCGGCAGAATTTGGACGTGCGCTGCGAGGGTTGCGAGGCTGAGGGTGTGGTGCCGGTTCTACTGAACCCGAACGATGAGTCCCATCGGCCCTTCCTGGTGGTACGGGCGAGGCAAGCCGACGCCAAGCACCGCATCCGGAAGAGAGGTCTGGAGTGCGATGGCAGCAGCAGCTTGTGCTGCCGGCAGCAGTTCTACATCGACTTCCGCCTCATCGGCTGGAACGACTGGATCATCGCACCCTCGGGGTACTTTGGGAACTACTGCGAGGGGAACTGCCCCACCTACATGGCCGGAGTCCCTGGCTCCGCCTCGTCCTTTCACACGGCGGTGGTGAACCAATACCGCATGAGGGGCATGAGCCCCGGCTCCATGAACTCCTGCTGCATCCCCACCAAGCTCAGCACCATGTCCATGCTGTACTTTGACGACGAGTACAACATCGTGAAGCGCGACGTTCCCAACATGATCGTGGACGAGTGCGGCTGTGCCTGACTGTTGACTCAAGTCCGACTCGGCACAAAATGTTGTCCTCATATTTATGACTGTTGACACTCCCACAGGAAGACGTCTCTTCAGGTCCCATTCACCGGGGACACCATCAACAGGTCCTAATTTGGTGTCTCGTAAGATCCCGGGGACCTTTATGGAGCACGATAATGCGCCGTGTTGTCAGAGCGGATCTCAGACTGATCAGGTCAGATAGATCTCCTGACACCCTGACAACAGGACCTTCACCAACAAACAGCACTTCTGGCTAACATAAACCCGAAGAACACTAAACTCTGCACAACGTCCACGTGATAACGAACTCAAGCAAACCAAAACAACAACTAAAATCCAACAAACTACCGGTGTTTTGTTTGAACGTCGGCAGTGAAAATGAGTTTTTGGTAAACAAAGCAGAACTGTGATGAGCTCAAATCTGCTGGTAGTCCAGAAATTGTGGAGTTCTAACAGGCGAGACCCGAACCAGACCCACATCCTACCAAAACTAGACCAATACTGGACTCAAATCAGACCCAACCTAGTCCAAGCTAGACCTAAACTGGACCTTTCAGAGACTGGTTCAGCTCAGGAGTCGTTTCTGACCGCGGCTGGTAGTGACAATCGAGGGATCATCTGCATACAGGGACGTGGTGGAGGGGACTGTTTTCTGAAATACTCTGTGTACTCTAATGCTGTTGAAGCAGAGTTCATATTTATTTCTAGTTTTTTATGTTTCCGACTCAACATTTGAATTCTGAGCCGGTACTCCCTGAAAGTTTCCTTTAGAACGCAGAGACCTTCAGTCCAACTCGGCTGTTGTTCTTTACAGAGCACCACACGTTTTTTAAACAAAAGGTTCGTTTTTATGCTGTCACCGAGCAACTTCAGCACAACGCTGACCGCTTCACGTTCAAACATTTTCAGGACTCAAAAACTCATCTAGACACCAAAAAACTCCAAATGAGCTTGAATTCTGAAGCCATCTGGGTTCACAGCCTCCAACTGGGTTCAGAAACTATTCCCCACCATTATGTTTCTGATTTCAGGAAGCAATCCCCACTATCGTGTTTCTGATTTCAGAAAGTAGTCCCCACCATCATGCTTCTGATTTCAGAAAGCAGTCCCCGGCATTGTGTTACTGATTTCAGGAAATAGTCCCCACCATCGTGTTTCTGATTTTAGAAAGCATTCCCCGCCATTGTGTTTCTGATTTCAGGAAATAGTCCCCACCATCGTGTTTCTGATTTCAGAAAGCAGTCCCCGCCATCGTGTTTCTGATTTCAGGAAGCAGTCCCCGCCATCGTGTTTCTGTATCCTGACAGAAACTGCTGCTTGCTGTGCTGAAAACCGTAGATAAAATCATTGAAGAGAAAAGCACGGAGCTAAAGCTGAAGGTCTCTGCTTGACCTTTGACCTTCTGCTAAGTTAAGTTCAGATATATATTTAACCCAATCACCTATAAACTATTTCCTAAAATGGAATATTTATGAATTTATTGTTTTCATAGTCAAACTATGAATTTTGTTAAGATTAGAACTTTCTGCACTTAAAGAAGCTACGTCAGAAGAAAGTTATTTCCTCTGCAGGAAGCTTTTGATAATCGTGTTTAAGAAACGTTGCCAACACAACGATCCACCAACAAACGTTTTTATCTACAACCGCAGCCACGCAGCTGAACCAAACGAGCTTTGAACGTAGCCTTCCAAAGAACCGTCGAGGCCCCCGCTGCATCTAAAGTGGCTCGATGAGAACCAGAGCTGCTGCCTGGCCCCCAGCGATAAAGTCCATCCTTGAAGACTCTAAAGTTATTTTAAAACAAGTTTGTCCTTCTGTAACACGACATCTGCACAAAGTTATATTGGTTGTAAAGAAAAGTCACATCCAAGCGATCTCTTCCACGAGTTTTAAAAACTTGACACATTGAGACGTGTTTTTCTTTTTTTAAAAAGATCAATTCCTTACCAGTTTTATCAAATATACTTTACTGCCTACAAATTTTACATTTAGTATTTATTAGGACTCAAAGTAAAACATGAAATTATCATTAAATTTTGTTTCAATAGAAACATAAATAAAAAGAGTCCTAAATACACAGCCTTGAGGTATCCCATGAAAAGGTACCTTGGTGTTTTTTTTTTATTATTTGCTGGTTTTACGTTGTAAACGTAACTTATTGGTCATTTTCACGTTAAATTTGTTTGTTTCCAACCAAACAGACAAATGTAAACAATAACGAGTTCTGAAGGTCTGACCCGGACCATGGAAGTCCTCAGTTGACCTGTTGGTGGTTTTCTTGTTACGAGAGCTCAAAGTGTAAACATGCAGTTCTGACTCGGTCCTCGTCCGAGCCGAGGGGCGGACTCCGACCCAGAAGTGATGCCTGGATGGGGTCTTGAAAGGACTGCGTCCCGCCGCAGCACTTGGAGACGCTGTGCGCTCACCTTCAGACACGTCAGAGCTGTTGCACGAGGACTTGATCGTTCGAAGAAGTTATTTTTGTAGATGCTACAGGAGCAGAGTTTGATGTTGTCCAGCGAAGTGGAACCAAAGAGGCAGTTTCATGTTCTGCGCTTTGAAGAGGCCTAAACACTGTATCAGGGTCAAACGTCAGCGTTCTCCGTGTTAGCTCTTGGACCATCTCGTCATGTAAGAAATAAATGTTTTGTTCTTTGTAATCGTTGGAAAATAAATTTCTTAATAAGACTCCATGCTCGTTTTGACTCAAGTGGATCAAACGTTGTAAAATCAGGTGACCCTGGGGTCAAGATGACCCATGCAGAGGTCGCTTTGAGCCCAGGGCAGCAGGAGGGTCAACGACCTCCAGTTATTAAATTTGATGTTTCACGGAGGCTCGTTGGTTTTAGTTCATTTAATTCAGATTTAGAACTGTCTTCTTTTGAAGAGAATCCAAAGAGCTGAAAAAAATTCAGTTTAAAACATTTTAAACACTTATCAGAACAGAAAGAGATTCTGTGTATTTATCAGCTGTTGTCAGAAACACAACGAAATGACATTTCAGTCCAGCCCGCCCAAAAAAACCACAAACAGACAGACATGGGGAGACGGAGGTGACTGAGGCTGCAGCCTCGTGGGAGGCGCTGGATCCTAGACGGGACATGGTGTGTCCTAGATGGGACACAGTATGTCCTAAATGAGACACGGTGTATCCTAGATGGGACACGGTATGTCCTAGACGGGACACACTGTATCCTAGATGGGACACACTGTATCCTAGACGGGACACGGTGTGTCCTAGATGAGACACAGTGTATCCTAGATGGTACACGGTGTGTCCTAGACAGGACACAGTGTATCCTAGACGGGACACACTGTATCCTAGACGGGACACGGTGTGTCCTAGACGGGACACAGTGTATCCTAGACGGGACACAGTGTATCCTAGACGGGACACACTGTATCCTAGATGGGACACACTGTATCCTAGACGGGACACAGTGTGTCCTAGATGGGACACAGTATGTCCTAGATGAGACACAGTGTATCCTAGATGGGACACGGTGTGTCCTAGATGGGACACACTGTATCCTAGACGGGACACAGTGTGTCTTAGATGGGACACAGTATGTCCTAGATGAGACACAGTGTATCCTAGATGGGACACGGTGTGTCCTAGACAGGACACACTGTATCCTAGACAGGACACAGTGTGTCCTAGATGGGACACGGTGTGTCCTAGATGGGACACACTGTATCCTAGACGGGACACAGTGTGTCTTAGATGGGACACAGTATGTCCTAGATGAGACACAGTGTGTCCTAGACGGGACACGGTGTGTCCTAGACGGGACACACTGTATCCTAGACAGGACACAGTGTGTCCTAGATGGGACACACTGTATCCTAGACGGGACACAGTGTGTCCTAGATGGGACACACTGTATCCTAGACAGGACACAGTGTGTCCTAGACGGGAC